ATATGTATATGTGTATATATATGTGTATATATATATATATATATATGTACACACAGAGACGTATATGTGTGTGTGTGTGTGTGTGTATGTCAGAGCTTACCAAAGCTTCTGATTGAAATGGTTACAACTACCTGGCATATAGGGTTGCCTGTGTCACAGATTAATAGTGTCCTTTGTAGTTTCTCATACTGTTGGTTTCGGAAGTGGCTTGGCTAAGCCTTAGTGCTACAGGACATTCATCTGTCTTTTCACTCATTCTATACACCCAAATGTCAAAAAACCCTCTTTTGTCCTGTTTACCAAAGCTTCTGATTGAAATGGTTACAACTACCTGGCATATAGGGTTGCCTGTGTCACAGATTAATAGTGTCCTTTGTAGTTTCTCATACTGTTGGTTTCGGAAGTGGCTTGGCTAAGCCTTAGTGCTACAGGACATTCATCTGTCTTTTCACTCATTCTATACACCCAAATGTCAAAAAACCCTCTTTTGTCCTGTCCTCCAGCACAGAACAGTAAATCATGTTGTTTATGAACCAAAACCAAAAGATTGTGTCCATTTCGTTACATAATCTGCACCATTTCATCTGCAGTCCTTTCTATCCCATAGATTCATGGGCCTTACGTTCAGTACCTGAGTCCTCCAAAACAGGACTGCATAACAGAAGGTAGGACAATTCAGACGATGTTGAATCATTCAAATCTGTAGTCTCTGTTACCTTCATATCCAGTAAAACTTCAAAACATCATTTTAAAAACTACCCACAGATGGCAATCCTTATGGTCTGTTGGTCACTATCTGAAGCATGTAACAACTTATGGGTCAATAGAAAGTAAATAATGGTCAGGGATCATTAAGAGGCTGACAATGGGTGTTTAATTTGGTTAGATAGGATTAGATACACATGTTTTTGTGAATTTGTACTTTTGTGGCATACAGTACATCTGTCTGCACATGGCTGATTTACTGCTGTAAAAGTTATTGTTGCTATATTCTTGCTTTGCTGAAGTAGTTCAAATCTTCTTGACTATATCCTTCTGCTATTTTGTTTTGACAGTCCTTCAGGTAGGGACCAGTAATATGTAGGCCCTTAGTTCTTCAGAAGAAGATGGGGAAGCAACATAGTAATCATTGCCTGAGGATGACATGGACAGTCCTGCATCTGTAAATATTTCTGGAAGACTGGAATAAACATGTAATATAGTGTCTATAACACAAGCTGTAGAACAGAAATAGACCACACAAGCCCTAAGATTTGTTCAGCAAACTGATCGAAGCCTGTACTGTACCGCCTCACATTACCTGTCTTGTAGTCAGTTAGTCATGAATCAGCAATTGTAGTATGAAAAAAGAGAAAACTCTCCTCACAAAGGAGAACCCAGGTGGAATAGGCATAGTTCACATTTTTCACTGTAAATGTAGATTAGGTGGAAAGTTGAGGAAGGTATGCCAAGCTGACACTTCTTGATGAGAAACAATTTTGTTGAAAGAAGCTAAATACTTACACACAGCCTATGTACACCTATATGTACATCCATATTCTTTGAATAATTTCTAGAATATAGTCGATAAATTTTATCTGCCCTAAATCGATACTTGGATGAATTGTATTTTCAGCTGCTGAAGTGAATTTTTTTTTTGTTATCACCTCATGTAAAATTCCTGTTTACTTCTAAAACATGATTTTACTATATGAGATAAATTCTGTAATCGTTTTGCTTAGTGTAGCAAGTTGCAACTAGAGTAGGCCTATTGAATCATTGAAGATTTGGTGAATCAACTCCTGTAAGTTTTACTGATTGATTGGACCTAATCTAGTTGCTTCTTACTACACGAAGCAAGATGTTTTCAGGCAATGAGTTATAAATTAAGGAAATATATAGAATTGTAGATTAAATCTGGACATAATATTTTATTTGCCTTAAAGGTATAATACAATCAATTGTGTCTCCTGTTTTGCCAACTAAAATTGTTTTTGGCACTTTGTTTTCCTCCCTCTTACAGACTATGAATACAGAAGAGGAACACGAATACAGACAAGATAAAGAAAGCTACCTCTGTGCAGTGTGCCTTGATGTTTACTTTAATCCTTACATGTGCTATCCTTGCCACCATATCTTCTGTGAACCTTGCCTACGCACACTCGCTAAAGATAACCCAACCAGCACTCCGTGTCCTCTGTGCCGTACTGCAATTGTTCAAGTTTTTTTCCAATCAGGTATAAAGAATTTTAAAGCTTTCTTTTCTTTATTTATGTTCAAAGCAATATAAAGGTCCTTTCAGAATGGAAGGGTTGGTCAAGAATGTTAAGTGTTACTCAAGGGAAACCCAGATGTGTCACAGTCATCACATTCTTCAGGGAGGCTCTTTCGGTGCCTAGAAATTGATCAGAAGTATTATTGTAGACACTTACCTGCTCTTTTAGCTGGAAATGTTCAGGGTTAAATAAAGAGCACTAAACACAGTATATGCTCATAACTAGTCATACTGAAAATCATTAGGGTCAGAGTATCTATGAGACTGAGTCTTTTATCATTATCTTTATGTAGAAGGAAACCAGATGAATCTTTATTTATCCCAGTCATATAAGAAGAGGAGTGGACTATAGTTTTAGTAACAAAAATATAATGCAAGTAGGAAGTGTTAAACTTTCACTGCAGCTATCGCTTATCTCCTCACAGCTGGTCCTCCCATATACTTTTCTATACATCTGAGCTTGGATACCAGAAGTGAGCTATAGATAGCACCACAAATTTCATGACTCAGAGACGTGTATTGTATAAAAATCTGTGCTTATCATTCCACTGTTCATGTTTTCCCTTAGTCCAAAGTCAACTGAGTTTTGTTGTTTGTTGTTTAGTCGTTAAGTTGTGTCCGATTCTTCGTGACCTCATGGACCAGAGCACGGCAGGCCCTCCTTTCTTCCACTGCCTCCCGGAGCTGGGTCAAATTCATGTTGGTAGCTTCGATGACACTGTCCAACCATCTCATCCTCTGTCGTCCCGTTCTCCTCTTGCCTTCACACTTTGCCAACATCAGGCTCTTTTCCAGGGAGTCTTCTCTTCTTATGAGATGGCCAAAGTACTGGAGCCTCAGCTTCAGGATCTGTCCTTCCAGTGAGCACTCAGGGCTGATTTCCTTCAAAATGGATAGGTTTGTTCTTTTTGCAGTTCAGGGGACTCTCAAGAGTCTCCTCCAGCGCCACCAACTGAGTTTACTTGCCACCAAAGTATTCTCCTGTAGTCCAGTGACTTACAGTAATACAGATCAGGATTACAATAATAAATTTCTAGAATGTTTTCTATTTCTTCAGTTTCTCCAGTGTGATCTCTATACATCACATATATGAGTCTGCACCAGTACCAAGCCATCATTCAGAATTTTCTGAATAGGGAGAATTTTAATGGTAGCTCAAGGAATAAAGATGCAGCCTGTGCTGAATAGAGTTGCACTCCCTCCAAAAACAGAGGTATGCAGCTTGGGGATGCTCCTGGAGTCATCTCTGAGCCTGGATCCTAGATTTCAGTGTTGCCCAGGAGTGCTGTTGCACAATTTAAAGCTAATGTGCTAGCTGTACCTGTTCCTAGAGAGATCTGATTTGGCCGTGGTGACACATGCCTTAGTTAAATCCCAGCTGGGGCTACCTCTGGAATGTGCTTGGAAACTTCAGTGGGTCCAAAATGAAGCAACCAGATTGCTAACTGTGGCT